TGATTACGCTTCTTTTACCTGCATCATGTCTATTAAAAACATTTTACTGTAAAAAATGCCATTCACATCGAGAGCAAATATAAGTTAATCAGTGTATTCATCAAAACAGAGAATTAAAAAGGGACAGATCATTAATGCCACTTGCAAATTTAACAGTGCCTTCAACCCAAACAGCCTTGGAGAGAAGCATTTATTGCACAATCCAACAGATCATAGATTTTAAGGGTGACCCCATGTGAAAATACACAAAAAAAGTTGGTTTCCATTCTCACATTGAAGTTCCCCCTTTAAATAAAGATTCCCCCCCACGTCAGAGTCACCCTTTGCATCAGATGCCCACTTTCCCATCAGGTGCCCACCTTTCATATCAGAGTCCCCCCATTTTGGAAGCTTAGCCTAATTTGTGTCTTTAATATTTATAGAAAGTTTTTGGGTAAGGAATGTTTTCCAGACAACTGGAGTAAGTGCCCATCTTTTCTTATATATTCCTCCCTCTAACATTTTGGCAGTGGACTGGTTAAAAGCCCTTGGAGACTGTATTGTTTAAATTCTAGTGTTGCTAAATCTCTTATAAGAAATGATCTGGAAAAAAATGATCTAAATGTGGTTTCAAGGCTGAATGCAGAAGCTTCATTGATGATCTGTCGCACACTGTGACGCCTTTGAATGACTGAACGGACCTTTAGGCTCCACATATACAAAGCTTCAGTAGCTTGCTATACATCATATGTGATCAGCCAGTGACTTCCAATAATGAAAAAGGGCACAAGGGGTTAACTCTGAACACTTAAAATCACTGTGGTCTAGTAATCTATTGCAAATCTTTACACCGTGCAACATTTAAGAGCAAGACCCCATTCTCAATTGCCACTGCCCCTTTACGTTAGAGTAGATCTAAAGCCAATTACCCTCATAGCTTTTATCAAGTTAATGTCATTTCAAAAGTTGTTTTCAGTCTTTTGAAATCTGCAGCTTTATTAAAAAGGATAGCTGGTAATCTTGCCATGAAGGTCCTTGTTCAGGCACTCCTTGGTATGGAGTGACAACTTTCTCTCAATTGTGCTCATGCATAGTTAGGTTATTAAATGTGTCCCTGGTGGAGACTACAAGCAGCAGCAGTGTTGACACATATTGTGCGAAAAAACATAGCAACTGTTGATGATACACGGGGCTTTATAAGCTAAATGTCATCCAGTTAGGGATTAGATCTTCTTTAAATCCCTATGGTGAAGAAACTTCATTTTGGGCTGAGATCACTTGTTTTGCTTAAACATTTGAAGGAAATTATTTCACCATGATGGTTTAACGTCAGCGTGTGGAGGACACACTTTTTTTTATGTACATCAAACCCGGCCCAGTCTCTAGCCATGACCAAATATATGTTCACGCATTAGTAATGCCTCCTGTACCTGAAGGAAAAAAATTAAAAATACTATACTTACAACTATACCATGCAATTGAAACAAATACATCTTCACTGGTATTTGCATAACCAGTGGCACCCACCCTTGCCCCCACATGACAATGCTGACATCTTGTTTAATTCCTGGTCATTCCATTCTGGGATCAGGGTAAGTGGTGTGTCTACCTACACCATAATCAGGTAATGAGGGCAGGTGGTATGCCTATCCTACACCATCGCCATAGTATGAGGGCAGTGGGTATATCCTACATCATCATCAAGGGATCAGAGTAGGAGGCATGCCTATACTATGCCATCATCATAGTATTAGGACAGAGAAAGTCCTTATACTCTACCATCATCATGGTATCAGCGCAGGGGACATGCCTATCTTACACCATCATCATGGTATCAAGGCAGAGGGCATGCCTATCCTACGCCATCATCATGGGATCAAGGCAGAGGGCATGCCTATCCTACACCATCATCATGGGATCAGAGCAGTAGGCATGTCTATACTATCATCATGGGATCAGAGCAGTAGGCATGTCTATACTATCATCATGGGATCAGAGCAGTAGGCATGTCTATACTATCATCATGGGATCAGAGCAGTAGGCATGTCTATACTATCATCTTGGGATCAGAGCAGTAGGCATGTCTATACTATCATCATGGGATCAGAGCAGGAGGCATGTCAATGCTATATTATCATTACGGGATCAAGGCAAAAGGCATTTACCTATCCTACACCATCATCACGAGATCAGAGCAGGAGGCATGTCTATAGTATACAATCATTATGGGATCAAAGCAGGGGAAGCGCCTATTCTACACCATTAGGAAATGGTAACACTGTGGAAGGGCTTTAAGCAGCATTCAGCTGACAAACGACAGAAGGTAAGAGACACGTGCTGACCTGATACTGATGTGGGCAAAAAAATTAAAAACTATCAAGTTTAACTTATCCAGTGACGCATTCTAGTAATAAAAGTACCACCTTAGTGTTACCATACCTAGGCAGGTATGTTTGATATACAAAGAGCTAATGCTTTGCAGATCTTTGCAACGTATACCGAGGGAAAAACATCAAATTGTGTCTGCTAAAAATTTCACTCCTGTGTTCCCACACAGACCGCAGAATTTTTTGTAGGCACCATCTGCATCTAAACCGCCAAAAAGCACAGCTCCCACAATGCAATGGGAGCTTCCCCTCTGTGCAAGCTGTGTTTTCAATCAGCATGATAAAGTAGAGAGGGTGGGAAAAGACAACAATTTTCAGGGTGTCAGGGTCTGGACTGAATACCGGCTGTTCCTCTACTTTAAAAGGAATTTAGTGATTTCAACAAAAAATAAGTCTACTTTTAGGACTTATTATTAGTCCTCGTTCACACTTCTGGAGTGTAAAACTGCAGAGCTGCTGAAGGTAATAACCCATTCATTTAAATGGGCTCCCTACCACAAGTAAATTGCACTAAAAGAAGTGCATGCAACTTTAAAAAAAATATATCATTGCATGATAATAGGTTACCATTCAATGTGGTGTGATACGATGCACGATGGCTTGGTGCGTTGGGGTACATTAAGAAATAATGGCACCAAAGTGCACCTAACATTGAAAGATGTGATGCTGCATCACATAGATGTGAATAGAGCTTAAAGCCAGGTTCACACCATTTTCCGGACCAGATCTGGAATGCGGTGCATTGCGTTTTTCAGCATTTTTAATTGATAGTTTAATATGGACTTTCAGGTGCGGTCTTTTGTGTTTGCATGCGTTCCAGTGCATTCCAGACCAGAGAAAAAGTGACAAGCAGTATTTTTTTTTTTTTGTCTGGACTGGAACAGACTGTGCTGGCATGAACAGAGCCCAGAAACACCATAGGGATACTTTTTTGGTCCTGGAACAAACTGTTCTTGTGTGGACATGATCTGGACATGAACAAGCCCTAAGGCTGGGTTCACACCATTTTCTGGACCAGATCTGGAACAGGACTGGAATGCAGTGCACCGGGTTTTTAACACGATTTTACCATGTTCCAGAGCTGTTTTTTTTTGGCTTGGTCTGGTCTGGAACAGACTGCGCTGGTGGGAACAGATGGCAGAAATAGCATAGGGATATATTGGGTTGCATTTTGGGTCCGGAAACAGTCTGGTCTGGAGGTAATCTGGATGAGGTGTGAATGGGCCCTAAAACCAGAGTGATTTGTTATATGTTGAACACTTGAGCAGTTAGATTTTGTTTATTAGCTAATTGCTACGTTGGTCAACAATGTTACACTCAAACTGACATATGTTTGTATATTTATAATTTGTTTGATGTGATGGATCTTTTCTGCACTAAAATACTAGCAATCAACTGTCCATTATTCCTCCATGCAACCACCACAAAGAACATGGATTTATTCCTTACTGTATTAGTTCAGATGACCTATGACAAACATTAGATCTTCAGATACACATTAATATATATGGTAACCTTTCTATCCCATAGTTCTCTTTAGGGTCACGTGAGGACATATACTAAAGTCCTCCCGTGACCAAAAGCTCAGTATATAGCAAGCTGCAGCTCGCGGTATACTGAGACCACCGCAGCCGGGATGGATCCAGACAATAATGTCGAGATCCACCCAGCTGCGTGAGTGACAGCAGGCTCTGCGTATCTAGAGGCAGAGCCAGCTGTACCCGCCCCCTCCCCGTCCATTCCTTCAGTCAGCGCTGGAGGATCGAAGCAGGGAGGGGGGGGGGAATCCCTGTAGAGAGCCGTGACTGACAGTCACAGCTCTCTGCAGGGAGATGATCGGGAAGTGAGCGAGCGACGGTATGTTTTCACTCACTTCCCGATCTATTGAGCCGACGTGTGACAGTTTCAACGTTACATGTGGGCTGTAACTATGAGAATGAGTAGAAATCACTCACCACATAGTTCTCATTTAACCCCCTCCAAACATTAAAATCTAACCCAAACAAAGCCAAAAATTAACCCTAAATCTAGCCCCTAATATGTGCCATCTAGCTGAACACCGAAAATGTACCTTTAGCCCCTTGCCTAATGCTAACACTTAACATGTCACTTACCTTAAACTAACCCTTTAATTGAACCCCCTTTCTGGTGACCCTAGGCTAATTCTAACTTAATCCATGACCCCCTAAGGCCCCATTCACACTGAGCGGAAAATCCTGTGATTTCGCGCATTTTTGCTGCGCGATATTGCGACAAGTCGCCGGCCAATGGTTTTCAATGGAGCTGTCTTAATGTACAGCTCCATGTCGCAAGTCGCGCCTGCAGGACCCCTTTTCCGGCGATGTTGCGCAAATTTCCTTTCGCGCTATCCCGCCGCGCAGAAATCCGCTTGAGGTGAGTGTCGCTTAGTGTGAATGGGGCCTAAGACAAGCTGAACATGGAAAACAAACTTATCACCTGAACCATAAGTCTGATACATAACCAAAAAATATTCAAAGCAACACTCCTGCACCAAAAGGTAGCTGCAAATGATTTTGAGATTTAGACTATGATTTCTTCCACACATATATGTTCCAGCTCTGGACTATAAGTGTCAAACCACAAATCCTAGACTACCAATACAACACAACTTACCACGAGGGTAGATCTGAAGAGGCTCCACCAGTGGACTGCTCCCTTGCTGCTCCAGGACCATGCTGCAGTACTGCAAGGAGAAAACAAGCAATGGGGACCACAGTACAGCTAGCTTATCATGAACAATGATTATTAGGTGAAACGTCTTACCTGTTCTGCAATCCCTGTACTGGGAGTTACCCTCACTCCCCCCAAAAAAGCCCATGCCTTAACCATTTTTAAAAGCTTCTACTGTTATTGAAAGTATAGGCTACCTGGCTCTTTTAAATGAACCTGTGACCAAGTTAATAATGCATTACATATTCTTATGTATGGAGGGGGGCTCAAATGGGTATACCATTGCCAAAACATGCACGAATCAGGGATTCCCATAAACAGTCCAAGTAGGTTTGTCCTGTACTTTTTTCAGCATCGACATTTGTCGAAGGAACATGTTGGCTAATATTTGGCCTAATGGTGCTTGCAGCTGGTAGTAACACTAGTCCGTTACACAATACTGCCCTCAGCTCTTGAAATATTCTCTGGACTCATTTCATCATGGTGCACCTCTTTCTAAATGGCTTTTCTCTGAGCTTCAGTTACCCGATAAGGTCTTTACTTTGACATGAGGCTCAGTCACAATATCATTGTATAGCATGATAGTTAGGCCAAATAATTCTAATAACAACTCAATTGTTTTGAAATAACTCTCTGACCTCTAGAATGTGAGCATAAGACTAACAGGGTTACTCACAAAAGGGTGAAGAGTTTGGAGAAGGAAGGTGAAGTGAACAATCTAGGCCAACAAAAATGAACTCGAAGCTGAATTGGAGAGTGTTTACAAAATCAGCCATTTTGGCCAAGATTGTTCTTCTCCTGCCTTCTCCAAACCATTCACCCTTTTGTGAGTAACCCTGGAAGTATCTGACATCCTATCCTCTGGTACACCTTTTGCTGGTGATACATTAGGTTTTCATTTTGCTGAAAGATCCTCTCAATACCTTTTAGGGTTTTATTAGATTAACATGGTATATTTAGGCTCTTTTCCGACTGGTATACCTGCTAGTTGACATCACTGATTTTCTATTTGAACTCATAGGGGTCACATAGTACTATGTGTCCCCAGTTATGAATAAACATGATGTGATTTACGTCACTTCCTGTTCAAAAAGAGATTGAGGACTCTGTGTCCTCAATTTCTTTTTCTATTTTAAAAGGGAAATAATGGGGCTGTTTAGACCCCTACTCTTTCCCCGAAGCCAGCACGCCCCCCCCCCACAGTAAAGAAAAAATTATAATTTAAACTTAAATAAAAAGTAAGAATAAAATAAAAAATAGCAAACAAAAAGATCCTGGAGGCTGGGCGCTGGGGGATGTCACACGCCTTTTGGGGGGGGCACGTTTTTTTTCTTGCCTTGGGCGCAAAAGGAGCTAGCTACGGTTATGCTCCCACGGTGCTCGTGTGGCTGCCGGCTGAATGTGTTAAGACGTCGAAGACGGAAAGGGGCAGGACACATCTCCCCGTGTGCAACGTCGGCCACATGAGCACTGCGGGAGGACAGGACGCCGGCCTCCTCTAGAACGCACTAGAATGCAAGCTGGCGTTCAGAGGCAGGAGGGGGCTTGTATTGAAGTCAATGGCACCATAGCCATGCCCCCCGCCCACAGTGCGATCGCCTGCTTGCATCCCGGTCCAGTGCAATCTGCACAAATAGTGCTTGCAGCATTTTTGCAGATCACACTGGACCGGAACGCAGGCACTAATGTGCCTGCATTCTGGGTGCAGGACATCGCACTGTGAGGCATGGCTGCGGTGCCATTGACGTCAATGCATCGCCATGCTCCCACGTTGGTAGATCTCATTGAGTTTGTCATTTGAAAAGTAGATCTCCGAACGAAAAATTGTGGGCGCCCCTGCATTAGAGGATGTGTTGCAGAGAGGGATTTCCTCTGGGTATTGGGTGGCATATTCATAGACTACCCTGGATGACACATGCACACCATTCACAATCCTGCCAGCCAATGCCTCACACTTAAAAAGCTGCGTATGAGCTTTAAACTAATCCCCACTGGCCTCTGTAGCTGCAAAAACTGTGGATCAATACACCCTCACAGTTCAAAGCAGAAACACTGAAGTAAACCAAGTTATTCTCTCAGCAGCTCAGCTGATTTGCTTCTCCCTCCCTGAGTATCTGCTCTATGTGGAAGTGGGGGAAGCAGAGAAATCTGAGCTGCTAAGAGGAGGACCTAGAGAATTTCAATGCTTCTGTACTGAAGATGAATTGCTCCATGGTATCTTCAGCTACAGAGATCAGTGAGGACTTATTTTAAAGCAGATTTACTGCTTTTTAGGAATACATGTAAATACTTGAATGTTTATAGACTACGGATGCACCGATACCGGTTTTCCGGCATCTAGTACGAGTACCGATATTTTTTTTCGGTACTTATGGATACCGAATACCGATACAGGAAGTCCCATTAGGGAAGCCGGAAAGCTGTCTCCATGCTCCCTCGACACTAGGTGATGAGGAAACATGGAGCAGGCAGGAACAGGAAGCCGGGGAGCTGGTAATGATTGACCATCTTCCTGACCAATCAGGGAGCCGGGTGGCGAGTCATTACATGTCGCCCGGCTTACCAATTGGCCGGGAAGCCGATTCCATGCTCCCTTGTCACCAAGTCTCGAGGGAGCATGGAGCCAGCTCCCCATCCAATCAGGAATCCGGGGGGCGAATCATTACCCACCCCCCGGCTTCCTGAATGGCCGGGAAGCCAGCTCCATGCTTTCTGGTGACAAAGGAGCATGGAGCCGGTTTCCCGGCCAATCAAGAAGCCAGGCAGTGTGTAATGACTCGCCGCCTGGCTTCCTGATACTGGTAGTTCTCATTTTAGGATTTGGGGCATTGGGAGCATTTGGGTGAGTACTTGCCCAAATAATTGGTATCATCACTGTTACTTGTATTGGTGCATGCCTACTATAGACCAAAACTACAGGTTCACTTTAAAACTGCCTTTTGTCTTCTATACTGAACTGAATGGCTGCTTACTATATTAATTAAGCAACTTACTACTACATGGCAGATGCATTATTATTCTCCGATTTAGAATTGACTTCTGACATACTTTAAAAAGGAGAACTATGGGGTCAGGGCTTTTCCCCATAGTTCTCCTAAGGGTCATGGGAGAACACAAACTAGCGTTCTCCCGTGACCCAAAGCTCAGTATACCGCGAGCAACAGCTCGCGGTATACTGAGACGCTGCAGCTGGGTGGATCTTGACAGCAATGTCGGGATCCGTCCCGGCTGCGGCGTCTCAGTATACCGCGATTGACAGCTGGCTCTGCCTATCGAGAGGCAGAGCCAGCTGTGCCCGCCCCCTCCCCCATCTTTTCCGCCAGTCAGCGCTGGAGGATCGGACAGGGGAGGGGGGGAATCCCGGCACGGAGCTGTGAGTGACAGTCATGGCTCTCTGCTGGGATAGATCGAGAAGTAAGCGAACGCCGGTATGTGTTCGCTCACTTCCCGATCTACTGAGCCGACCTGTGACAGTTTCATTGTCACAGGTCGGCTCAGATTATGAAGCTGAGTGAAAATCACTCGCCTCATCATTCTCCTTTAACTTTTGTAACAGCCACAATTTTAACTTCTAAAACAGCCTGTGTCAGTTTTTTCCTAACTGGGAGAAATGCAACAAATACCAAAGTTTAAAGGGGCCACCAAAGAATTTCTCAGGCAGTAGCATAGCTGGGGTTGAATAAGGAAAGGGAGAGTGTAGGGCTTGTGTAGGGCTTCCGTTTAGAGCTCCTGCATGTCTTTGTAAAGCTTTTCCATATTTGCAACGAAGTATAAGGAATAAATGTGCCCTGCCTTTACTGCAAATACACAATGTGCCTGCTTTCCGGGTGCGGGCCATCGCACTGTGAGGGGCGTGGCTGCGGTGCCCTTGACTTCAATGCATCGCCATGCTCCCTCCCCCCCCTGAATGCAGGTGTTTTATCGTTGGTAGATCTCATTGAGCTTGTCATTTGAAAAGTAGATCTCCGAGCGAATGAAAAATTGTGGGCGCCCCTGCATTAGAGGATGTGTTGCAGAGAGGGATTTCCTATACACACACACACACACAGATAAATATACATCCAGTACTATGTAGGCCCAAATAAATATCTCTAATAGATTGAAGTTGGTTACAGACTGGTAGAAAATGTGCAATCCCTTCAGAATGAGGAAGAGAGGCAGCTGACAGCCTGGAGGGGGTTAATTACCAATGAGCCGTAACTTTAAGTACTGCATAAAAAAAGCTAAGAAATTGATAGTTCATTTATCCGGCACAATACCTAATGCACAAGTCATTAGGAGAGATTATTCTTAATGTACTGTTCACACTAAAAACATCAAGCGAGACCTCAACCCTTAAAGTCATAAGAGACCATTTGTATCTCCAGGATCTGGCAATGACAAATGACTAAAAATGTGCAGTGGTACTTACAGGTACATGAGTACAGCTAATGAAAATGGTCAAAAGAATGGGAAAGCAACAAGCAGACATTGTCTCCACATTGTAAAACCTTGCTGTCCAGGCTGCAGGTGGGCCCTAAATGGGCTGCCATGGTTTAAATGGCTGCTTTGCTGGTTTGACTAGAGCCCTAGAACATGGCATATTGATGATCTGGACTGATATAAAAAAAAGTTTTAGCAATGCTGCTTTAAAGAGTTTATTCAATAAGCTAGGGCAAAAAGCAATGCTCTTCAAACTCACAATGAAATGTCATTAGCTTTGAAGAGTCAAGAAAACAAAAGATGATTTATGACTAAATTCTTTGTTCAAAAGGGCTCCGGAATAAAAGCCTGAGTGTAAAATCTTAATTTGTGAACCGCAGCTTCCCCTGCAGTGTAACCGAGATAAATACGCTACTGCCATGTACCATTTCAATTAGGCATGCACTGATACTAGTATCGGTGCTGATACTGAGTATTTGGGCAAGTACTCTTACTCGCTCAAATGCTCCCGATGCCTATCCCGATACCGGAACTTCCAGTATCAGGAAGCCGGGCGGCGAGTCATTACATGCTGCCCGGCTTCCTGATTGGCCAGGAAGTTGGCTCCATGCCCCCTCGTCACCAGGGAGCATGGGGCTGGCTTCCCAGCCAATCAGGAAGCCGGGCAGCATGTAATGACTCGCCGCCCAACTTCCTGAATGGTTGCGAAGCTGGCCAACACAGGAAGCCGGGCAGGGAGTCACTACCAGCCCCTTGCTTCCCGATTGGACAGAAAGCTGGCTCTATGCTCCCACATCACCTGGTGATAAGGGAGCATGGAGCCGCCTTCCCGGCCAATCAGGAAGCTAGGCGCCGTGTAATGACTTGCCACCCAGCTTCCTAATTGGTCATGAAGCTGGCCAAACAGCAAGCCGGGAGACGAGTAATTACAAGTCGCTCGGCTTCCTTAATGGGACTTCCGGTAATGGTATTTGGTATCGGCGAGTACGAAAAACAAAAATATCGGTACTCGATACAGAAAAAACGGTGCATCCCTATTTTCAATATATTCCTATCAGTGGGTGAGGTTCTGTATTTATGTGATCTAAGATATTCCAAGACAAGGAAGAATAGATTCTATTCATAGCTTCCTTTCAGCTATGTATATCTATGGCTGCGCAAAACAGGACAAGCATTTAAATCCAGAACGATATTGGCCATAGAAGCCGTGATAACAGTGAAGAACTATCCCACTGAAATCCAAGGGAAAATGGCAGACACTACACTGGAAGATGTGATGAGAAAGTGACCACCAATGTCAAGAACTGGTCTGTTATCTTCCAGTTGTATAACCTCCCTCACATAGCATAGAACTCTGACAATCTACCCCTGAAATTGAGGGAAGATCCCCTTGGGCACAGCAAATTCTTTATTACTCGAGCAGTCTTACCATACATTAGGGCTGGACAAATCCCAGGAGCCAGGTAGTCAATGCCCCTTACAAATTGCAGCTGTTGACTAACCTTGAGGTTTTCTTTAGCTGCTGTCAATAAAGTTGGGTCCTAAAAAAAACTGCTTTATTGGACAAACTGGCTCCTGAATTCCATATTAATCTGTTTGCCCGTTATACATAGATTACTTACATAAGACAGCATAGCCTTCATCTCCTCATCGCTCCTCACTGTGATCCGGTCTCCATCCTCATCTTCATCTACAAATAAATAAGATCAAATCAATTGCTCTCATTATACATACAAAACATCATATGGCATATTACCATTAATATGTGACACTAGAGAGATGTTCCAGAGCACAGGCATGGTCTCCGCAGCCTGGAGACAGAACAGAGGCTATTTGTTTGTTTTTAAGTGTTCTTAAGCTCTCAATCTTTTTTTTCAATAATGAACCCAGATCAAACAAATATACATTACCCAGCAAAGTATTTATTTACATTTTTGGCCAGTCATCATGTTTCAAAACAGCTCGAACTCTCTCAGCTTTGCTTCCCTGAACTTCCTGTTCAATACAAGATCACAGGGGACAGAGCAGTCTCCAGCAGCTGTTCATCTACTAGTTTAGCGAAGGGAGTAGGAAGGAGAGGGAGCGGGAATGGCTCACCTTGCTGTGCCTGTGTTTGTGGAGACACACAGCTTGCTAGTACACACAAGGGCAGCTCTATAGGACCCTGCAAGGGAAAGGAGTCCCCCTATAAGAGGATATTAGTAAGCCGGGTGCGTCTCCACAAACACAGCAAGGCATGCTACTCCCCCGTTCTCCTCTCGTTCCTCTTCCTCCTTCCCTTTTACTTACTCCAAGCTAGTAGATTGACAGCTGCTGGAGACGGTGCTCTCCCTTGTGAACTTGTGCTTAAGGGGAAGTTCTGGGAAGTTGAGCTGAGAGAGTTGGAGTCAGCTGTTCGGAAACATGATGACTAAGTGCTTGGGCAAAAAAATAAAGAAAGACATTGCTGGGCAATTATTTTTGTTTGATCTGGATTCATTATAGAACAAGTTTTTGCGAGTTTAATACGACGTTAAGTAAAGTTCTCCTGTTATCACAGGAACAAGAGTCCTCCTTGGAAGATTTTCCCTCTAATCTTCTACCAGTAATAACTAAAAATGGAACTTTCCCTCACTTTCAGTCCCGATGACAATGGTCTCCAGGACAAAATTAGTGGGAATCCCCTCAGCGGGGACACAAGTATAAACATGGGAACAGAAGTATAAGCTTGTCAGAGGTCCTTCCACAACATCTCGGGAAGACGACTACCAGTATTTCAACCTCAGGAAGACATCTGCTGGTCTATGGTTAGCGTATAGGTGCTCACCAATATGTACAATGTACATTCCAGCCCTTCTCAGGAACCAATGTCATATGGCCGGTACACAAAGACATGAGCTCAGTCAAGTCTCATATTTATTAGTATGGAGAGATAAGGTGGAAGGAGATGAGTAAAACTAGCAGAAGCTACTGATACCCCAAAAGTATAAACAATGAACATGTTTTCTAACCTGCCCAATCCAATGTACCGCTCTAGACTGATCCTGTGGGAGATTGGTCCCCCGGTCTTGCAGACACAAGTGTGTCACACAATCTGCCCCCAAATACCTTGATTATGCGACTGTCATCCCAATTGTCTGCTCACAGAGGGATCAAATAAGAGGAGAGTAATGAAAGAAGCAGCATACAGGGAAGTAATTATCTTCAATTATCAATGTGAGGGTCACAAGGTCATCCTCCGAATCCCTTTATCATGCAACATTTCTTCCAATGTACGCACATCAGTCTCAAATAAAGCAGCAGCTCTGCGATTTTCAGCAGTAAAGTAAGTGATCTCCCTATAGCAGTTCATGATAGCAAACACACCTTTGCCACAAGAGTTGCTGGGGGCAGCTTATAGGAATATTTAATAAATGCATTATGCCAGGCTAGGCAACCTCTGCACTCTTCTGGCTTCAACACTCACTGACCCACAACAAGCATGCAGCAATGCAAGTCAGAACTTTTTACCTCCACTCACATTCCAGGTCGATTACTTACAAAGTACTAAAGCCTTGGTTCTCAACAGGTGGGTCGTGACCCCGCATTCAGTGGGTCGCCGCGTGCCTTCCACTTTTCTAGGCGAGAGGCTTCTCGGCCTCCCCCTAGCGCACCACTGTCAGTTATGGCGCCAAGCAGCCATTCATATGCTGCTCGTCACTATACAGCGCAATGCAGAATACCCCCAGCTATGATGCACTATTGCTGGGATTTGTTGTATTCCTCTATAGCTGGTGGTATTCTGCATTGCGCTGTATAATGTACTATTGCTGGTATTTGTTGTACTCTATACAGTGCAATGCAGAATACCACCAGCTATAGAGGAATACAACAAATCCCAGAAATGGTACATCATAGCTGGTGGTATTCTGCATTGCGCTGTGTAATGTACTATTGCTGGGATTTGTTGTACTCTATACAGCGTAATGCAGAATACCCCCAGCTATGATGCACTATTGCTGGGATTTGTTGTATTCCTCTATAGCTGGTGGTATTCTGCATTGCGCTGTATAATGTACTATTGCTGGTATTTGTTGTACTCTATACAGTGCAATGCAGAATACCACCAGCTATGATGTACCATTTCTGGGATTTGTTGTATTCCTCTATTCAGCGCAATGCAGAATACCTAGACCTATTACCTGAACCTAGACCTATTATCCAGTTGAAAGCTCTAACCTATTTGCTTAGCTAAATCCAGGTGGTGACTTTTTTTTTGGACAGGCAGTGTATTTAAAAATATCAGTTCTACAATTCTGCAGCACGTAAGAGTATTTACAGCAAAAAATAGCATGAAAAAAAACAAGTTCCTCACATTCAAACGCTGTAGTTGTTGCATCAGGGAGGACCTGGCCAATCACATCCTAGAAAAGAACACAAACAATGACTAACACCGGCTCTTATTGCCAAATACATTCACTTCATAAGTTCTGCGATTATTTGACTTAGATGCAAGCTTAGCAAAAACCCAAAATACAATACTCCATAAACAACATGGAAAGAGATTCATTGTAACACATTTGAAACAAAAATGTGATTCTTTGAGTCTTTGTATGTGACCCTCAACAGGAAGGGAAATCATGTGCAGGAGAAGCTGGACCAGACAGTGGCCCTGAAAAGGCCACACATGAACGATCTTGATAAAGAAAGGACAGGTAAGGATGGAATCAGGCCACGAGCATTGCGTTTAGCGGTACAGATGCACAATAGACAGACTTGAGTTGGCGTGCTTTCACATCACTTTTTAAACATGTTGCACCGCTTTCATTTGTACATTTTTCCACAGCAGACCTCAAAATACTTTCATTTGTTTACCTTAACATGTGTTGTTGTCGTGTATTGCTGCACATTGCGTTGCATTTAAATGCAACGTGTTCAATTTTCACCCAATGCCTTGGCGTAAACTGGGCCTATCGGAGATAACGGATCTCAGCTTGTCATCGCACTGGGCCTGTGTTAAGCAACGCAGCCCATTGGATGTGATGTGAATGGACCCAACATGTGTATTTGTCATGAAGGATGAGGGAACCAGCTAAGTGTGAGGGCCCATTCACACCAGCGGGTGTGTGTTATGCAGTGTGTAATATGTCTTTATTGAAATGTCACAAAATGACATTTCATCCTGGTGACATCCTAAGCCCCTTTCACACCAGGGCGTTTCATCATGCGTTTTTTTCCCATGTATTCCTTCGGGGTCTGTTCACGCAAACAAACTGAATCGTGCGTCCAAATATGCCTGTCGCTTGAAATACTCCCCGAGTTTCTTTTGTGGCGCTGATGAGCTCGCTTTGCTCTATAGACTTCACTGGAAATGTGCTTTTGTCGTATGTGCTCGTTTTTGAAGCGTGTTTTTGCATCTGAGCCTGCTTCTCATCGGACAATTAAAGTGAGCTGAAAAAAATGAGCTCACATATGAATGGAAAACGTGTAAAACGCCCTGAAACGCACTTAAAAAATGAGCATAAAACGCACTGAAACGCTGTTGCTCTGGTGTGAATGGGGCCTTATATCTTTATTGATCTGAGCGGTGCTAGCCACAGCCACTTCAGCACCCAGTCAGTCAGGAGTACGGTGGGATACTTACTGGACTGCATGACAGGAAGGCCTTGTTTACCCCCCTCTCCAAGCAGCCACCATGTTAGGATTTAGGTGGGTGATCGGGGAGCGGGGAAACCCACAGAGCAACCCCGTCTGTTTTTACTGCCCCTTTGCCGCCTGTGTAAACAAGGCCTTCCTGTCGTGTAGTTCAGTAAGTATCCCACCGCACTCCTGACTGACTGGAGCGGCGCCGCTTGCAAAACATGTCTGTTGCAGTTATTGGGAGTGTGTCACACCCACCGGGCATGCGCTTGAGGGGCGGTATTACAATGCAATCTCTTGGGCTCCTAGTGAGGGAGGTGGGTAACTCTGATGTAAAGAGGGCTCCTAGTGAGAGAGATGGGAAACTCTGATGTGAAGAGGGCTACTAGTGAGACAGGTGGGTAACTCGGATGTGAAGAGGGCTCCTAGTGAGACAGGTGGGTAACTCGGATGTGAAGAGGGCTCCTAGTGAGACAGGTGGGTAACTCGGATGTGAAGAGGGCTCCTAGTGAGACAGGTGGGTAACTCGGATGTGAAGAGGGCTCCTAGTGAGACAGGTGGGTAACTCGGATGTGAAGAGGGCTCCTAGTGAGACAGGTGGGTAACTCGGATGTGAAGAGGGCTCCTAGTGAGACAGGTGGGTAACTCGGATGTGAAGAGGGCTCCTAGTGAGACAGGTGGGTAACTCGGATGTGAAGAGGGCTCCTAGTGAGACAGGTGGGTAACTCGGATGTGAAGAGGGCTCCTAGTGAGACAGGTGGGTAACTCGGATGTGAAGAGGGCTCCTAGTGAGACAGGTGGGTAACTCGGATGTGAAGAGGGCTCCTAGTGAGACAGGTGGGTAACTCGGATGTGAAGAGGGCTCCTAGTGAGACAGGTGGGTAACTCGGATGTGAAGAGGGCTCCTAGTGAGACAGGTGGGTAACTCGGATGTGAAGAGGGCTCCTAGTGAGACAGGTGGGTAACTCGGATGTGAAGAGGGCTCCTAGTGAGACAGGTGGGTAACTCGGATGTGAAGAGGGCTCCTAGTGAGACAGGTGGGTAACTCGGATGTGAAGAGGGCTCCTAGTGAGACAGGTGGGTAACTCGGATGTGAAGAGGGCTCCTAGTGAGACAGGTGGGTAACTCGGATGTGAAGAGGGCTCCTAGTGAGACAGGTGGGTAACTCGGATGTGAAGAGGGCTCCTAGTGAGACAGGTGGGTAACTCGGATGTGAAGAGGGCTCCTAGTGAGACAGGTGGGTAACTCGGATGTGAAGAGGGCTCCTAGTGAGACAGGTGGGTAACTCGGATGTGAAGAGGGCTCCTAGTGAGACAGGTGGGTAACTCGGATGTGAAGAGGGCTCCTAGTGAGACAGGTGGGTAACTCGGATGTGAAGAGGGCTCCTAGTGAGACAGGTGGGTAACTCGGATGTGAAGAGGGCTCCTAGTGAGACAGGTGGGTAACTCGGATGTGAAGAGGGCTCCTAGTGAGACAGGTGGGTAACTCGGATGTGAAGAGGGCTCCTAGTGAGACAGGTGGGTAACTCGGATGTGAAGAGGGCTCCTAGTGAGACAGGTGGGTAACTCGGATGTGAAGAGGGCTCCTAGTGAGACAGGTGGGTAACTCGGATGTGAAGAGGGCTCCTAGTGAGACAGGTGGGTAACTCGGATGTGAAGAGGGCTCCTAGTGAGACAGGTGGGTAACTCGGATGTGAAGAGGGCTCCTAGTGAGACAGGTGGGTAACTCGGATGTGAAGAGGGCTCCTAGTGAGACAGGTGGGTAACTCGGATGTGAAGAGGGCTCCTAGTGAGACAGGTGGGTAACTCGGATGTGAAGAGGGCTCCTAGTGAGACAGGTGGGTAACTCGGATGTGAAGAGGGCTCCTAGTGAGACAGGTGGGTAACTCGGATGTGAAGAGGGCTCCTAGTGAGACAGGTGGGTAACTCGGATGTGAAGAGGGCTCCTAGTGAGACAGGTGGGTAACTCGGATGTGAAGAGGGCTCCTAGTGAGACAGGTGGGTAACTCGGATGTGAAGAGGGCTCCTAGTGAGACAGGTGGGTAACTCGGATGTGAAGAGGGCTCCTAGTGAGACAGGTGGGTAACTCGGATGTGAAGAGGGCTCCTAGTGAGACAGGTGGGTAACTCGGATGTGAAGAGGGCTCCTAGTGAGACAGGTGGGTAACTCGGATGTGAAGAGGGCTCCTAGTGAGACAGGTGGGTAACTCGGATGTGAAGAGGGCTCCTAGTGAGACAGGTGGGTAACTCGGATGTGAAGAGGGCTCCTAGTGAGACAGGTGGGTAACTCGGATGTGAAGAGGGCTCCTAGTGAGACAGGTGGGTAACTCGGATGTGAAGAGGGCTCCTAGTGAGACAGGTGGGTAACTCGGATGTGAAGAGGGCTCCTAGTGAGAGAGATGGGTAACTCTGATGTAAAGAGGGCTCCTAGTGAGAGAGGTGGGTAACTCGAATGTGAAGAGGGCTCCTAGTGAGAGAGGTGGGTAACTCTGATGTGAAGAGGGCTCCTAGTGAGAAAGGGGTGTGACTCTGATGTGAAAGAAGGGGGCTCCTGATGTGAAGGGGCAGGACTGCAAAGTAATGGGTGGAACCCCACTTTTGTGTGTGGGGCCCCCCCATAAAATCCAAACCAGACAATTTACATTTTAGACTGGGGTGCCTCGAGATTTTGCATAGGGTGCTGTGACTAAAAAAAAAGGTTGCTAAATGTTGCTATAGGGGACCACCTGTAGTTCCTCTCTCCAAGATTTTCCAGGGTCCCTTCTGGAAGTCCTCCACCTTCCTCCTACCCACCAAGGGTGAACATAGCAATGGCTGCTGTGACTTAGTACCCTATAGGACAGGGTGGGATACTCTGGCCCTCCAGCTGTGCTTCACTACAAATCCCAACATAACTCTCTCTCTCTATGCGAGTCATGCCGGTAACTGTCAGTCTTGCAATGCCTCATGGGACTTGTAGTTCCACAGCAGTTAAAGTGCCACCCCTGCCATAGGAGGAGGTATCTATGGTTATATGCCCTGATCCAGGTTATCCTTTGTAAGTGAAACATTTATTTTATTAGAAGACATTCACCTGCACTATGCAGTGCGAGTGGCGTCACAAGGGGGGCGCGGCACGCCGCCGGGTGACACCATTGCAGGGGTGACACCAAAATGACTGACAGCCATTTTGGTGTCACCCCCTCTAAAAAGTCGGGCACTCGATTATGGACCGAGAGCCCAACAGTTTCAGGAGAGAGGGGGGGTCCCGGCGGGTGAACGTCCCATCCTCTCTCTGCCGGCGTCCATCATCGAGGCGTCAATCAGATGGCTGCGCAAGCACGATGACGTGTGATGATGACACGGCCGGGTGTCACCCGAACTCGGGACGCCCCTGTGCAGTGCACTCCGTTTTTTGCTCTTTTTATTTAAAGTACAACTGAAGCCAAAACTTTTTTTGTTTTGTTTTGGATAGAGTGGAGACCTGCCAGGTTTTTATTACTGTCTGTGCCCCATTAAGGGAGGAGATTCACTCTCTCTATTTGTCCTGGTGACCAAATTGTCACCAGAACAGGAATAGATGACAAATCCTTCAATGTACACACTAGTTCTGGTGACCCTGATGAGCACCAAGGATTTCCTCTCACTTCCTGTCCTGGCTATCAGACAGGAAGTGAAGGGAAATCTTTCTAATAGGCAAAACAAAAAAGCTGACAGGGGTTTTAGCCCTTCCTTGCTCTATCCATAACTAAAAAAAAATAAAGTTTTGTCTTCAGTTCTACTGTAACAATGGAATATATAAGTACAGAATCATGAACTGGGAAATGGCCACGGGCTGCTTGTACTGTGACCTGCTCCTGTAAGCGAGGTTCATACCTTTGCGCCTGCGTTTTGAGGATGTGATCCCCCCCGCCCCCCCCCCGGAAGTGTCGATATTCGGTCACAATTGTGACACTGATGTCTCTGCTTAGCAATGTCAGATTGTTGCTGCAGAGCGAGCTAAAGTAAGAACACCTACTAGAGATGGCCTACTTGTATTTATTTTACAGGATAAGAGGAGGTGACAGGGTCTCTTTAACATGAAGTTCCCCAAGCTTACAAGCAGCCCATGGTAATAGGAGGGGAAGGTTTAAAGATCCTCGTACATGGGTGACAACTACCAGCTATGGCATGAACTAGGTAAAGGTAACAGAGCACTACACAGGGATGTGCGTGACGTCACTGACGTGATCATTTGCGTCCCCTGTGGCCTTTTCTCACCAGGATGTCTCGAAACAATAACTGTGTGGCCGGCTGCACGGTCCAGTCCACGGCGCCGCCGTCGGGAATGCGGATCCGGATGACCAGGGCCTGGCTATCCATGTCCTGAGGAAGGTCGTAGCTCAGTAACAGCATCCCGGCCCCTGCCGGGTTACATTGTTTGGGGAACGGGGAACTGAGAGTGACTGGAGGAACTAAGATTTCCGTGCCGGAAGCCTGGGGAAGAAAAGGGCAAAGGACACGTCGCCATATTTGAAGTGGGCACATCGTCATTTGAACGTTTTCGTGCCATGTTGCTGTTTGGCAAACAGTAATGGAAGGCTGTGCAATGTCGTGGGTTCATGTCTGTAATGTTATATTTCTGTACCGACCTTAACCTTAAAACATTTACAGTATTTGATTAATATATGTTAATTAACATCTATAAATGCTAATATGTAACACCTCACTTGAGTGAATTTATTAAAACTGGAACATCTGTGCAAAGTAACCAATCAGCTTCTATATTTAGCTTGTTCAGTTAAGATTTAAAAACGAAAGATAGAAGCTGATTGGCTGCCATGCAAAGCTGCTCCAGATTATGTTTGCTTCAATCTTAGTAAATTCCCCCTCAATGAGGGGAATTTATCAAAACTGGAGCAGACAGAATCTGGAGCAGATGCCCAATCAGCTTCAATCTTTCATTTTCAAAGCTTAAAGGGGTTCTAATCACTCTGTTTTTTTGCCTATATCTACTGCTATCAAGCAGTAGATATAGGCAAAAAGTAAAATAAAAAAAAATGCTTTAACAGCGGTTTAAACTTACCTTGTTTTTGCAGCGCGCGGCCGCCTGAGAAACCGAAACTGTTCATGCGGCCCCAAAGCATCTAGGGGCGGGCGCATGCGCAGTTCCGATTCTCGGCCGGGAGACGAGCAGAGACGCAAGGTAAGTATATGGATGGCATGCACCCATATGCAGACACCGTGGGATCAGAAGTGCCTGCAAGGAGAGAGGAGTCCGCGCTGGATCGGAGAGCCGCCGCACTGCTGGAGTGACAGATGGAAACATCAGGAAAGAAGAAGATCAGATTAAGAGACATCATTTAAGGTAAGTGCTGACATTAACATTGGGGGGAGGGGGAAAAAATGTAATGTCCCTTTAACTGAAAAGAGAAGCTGATTGGTTGCTATGGGCAACTGCTTCAGATTATGTCTGCTTTAGTTGTGATGAATTCCCCCCACTGTGTGTGGTTATATATTAGGGATGCACCGATACTGAGTATTGGTGCCAATAGTGACTCGCCCCCCGGCTTTCTGATTGGCCGGGAAGCCCGCTCCATGCTCCCTCGTCACTTGATGATGAGGAAGCATGGAGCCAGCTTCCTAGTCATTCAGGAAGCCGGACGGCGTGTAATGAGTCTCCGCCCAAAACCCCCTGATTGGTCGGGAAGCTGGCCAATCAGGAAGGCAGGCGGTGAGTCATTACCCGCCCCCTGGCTTCCTCATTGGTCAGAAAGCCGGCTCCTTGTCACCTAGTGACGAGAGAGCATGGAGACAGCTTCCCGGCTAATCAGGAAGCCAGTGGACGTCGTTACACACCACCCCGGTTTCGGCGAGTACTTTAAAAAATATTGGTACTCGATATCGAAAAAACGAGGTGTGACAATTTAAATCCAGGAATGGACTGTAAAAAAATTAAATGTTTGCGTGAAAATTGGCAAAAGTGCAAGTGAAACTTTAGCTGTGTCACAATAGGCCTATGGTGAATATTCCATGGGGATATCAAGTGTTTATGAATGGCATAGGAGTTTAAGGAGGAGCGGGAAGATGTCCACGAAGACCAGAACTCTGGCCTGACAAGTGAATTCTCCGCCACGACAATGCTCCCGCACAAGATGCGTTAAAGGAGAACTATGACATGAGTGATTTCCACTCACCTCATAGTTCTAAGCCGACCTGTGACCAATGAGACTGTCACAGGTCGGCTCAGTAGATCGGGAGGTGAGCGAACAAATACCGGGTTCCCTCACCTCTCGATCCTGTCACGGCTCTCTGCCGTGACAGGGGCAGGGGCTGGATTCCCCTCTCCCCGCTCCGATCTGCCAGCGCTGACTGGCGGAACGGACGGGGGAGGGGGCGGGTACAGCTGGCTCTGCCTCTAGATAGGCAGAGCCAGCTGTCACTCACGCAGCGGGGCGGATCCCGTCACCTAAGTCGGGATCCGCTCCAGGTGCGGCGTCTCAGTATACCGCGAGCTGTAGCTCGCGGTATACTGAGCTTAGGGTAACGGTAGGACGCTAGTTTGTGTCCTACCGTTACCCCAAGGAAAACTATGGGGAAAAACACTGACCCCGTAGTTCTCCTTTAAGTGTTTGCGAGTTTCTGGTCCAGAAGTGCATTTCCGAAATTGCCTTGAGAGGACACAGATTTGATGACATTCCGGACATCCAGCAAGCCGAGACAAAGATACTGCGCAGCATTCTGGAAAACGAATTCCAGGAAAGTTTCCGGCAGTGGCAAGGTCGTCTAGAAAAGTGCGTCGCTTCACAAGGGGACAACTTTGAAGGTGACAACAGCAGCTAGTGTATAGGTAAGCAAACATTTTGTTAATCCGCTGCTCCAGATTCCTGTCACTCATTTTACACCAACAGCGCAACGCACACACATGTGTTACTTCTTCTACTACTGCGTAAGGACTGAGCCAATTGGTCTGTGACCCAGGTGAGTGCAATTTAGAACATGACAGAACACGCTCGAGTGTGAATAGCTGTGTGACTACACCGCGGGCATTCCGGGAGCCTAATACTATTATTATTATTACATAGTATTTATATAGCGCCAACAGTTTGCGCAGCGCTTTACAATATAAGGAAGACATTACAGTTACAATACAATTCAAGACAAGATGGTAAGGAGGGCAAGCCTAATGCCTGCCCACAATACATAAAGTGAAACTCAAAGGGCTGGCTCACAACATATGCGGTGACTGGTGTTTTTCAGCAACTGAACACTTGTTATCTATGTGCCCCATTCATATTGCATTGCGGGTGTGATGTGGAATGCTGTTCACAAAAATGCATACATTTTTTCACAGCGCACTGGATTGCACCTCCGGTCACCGCAGCTCAGCACACCGGTTCCTAGGGGGAGACCTGAATCAAGTGTACTGTTTGCACACTCCAAATAAAGTTAAAAAAAAGTGAACAGAGTTATGCTGAAACAGCGCATCACCTCCTGCACCCCCCTCCCGACCCCCCCAACCACCACCAGTTAACCTCCCCCCCAAAGTACACCAGACCTCTCAGCACACTAGCC